ACATCCTGAGCAAAGCACTAAGCCAAAAAAAAACATCCATGTGTGTTCGGAATGTGCAGGGCTTATCGCCCTGCTCTCACATGCAGCTGGCCAGGAAGAGGAGGACCTAACTTGGAGTGAGAGTAGTAGTGTGAGACCTCTTGTTCAAAGCAGTGCTCTTAGTGTGAGAGGCAGCTTTGCTGTGGCATTGAACAGGCAATGTCCTCAACTTCGGTAGGCTCGAGAAGCCCAAACATTTGAGCCTTTTGTTGGAGTGAGTGGAGCCTAGGAGAAGGGTTTGTGCAGAGCATATATGCTCAGCTCGGGTTGTGTAGCTTCCTTCGGCATGAGCCCAACACAAGGTGACCGACCTATGACACCGCTGCTACCACCATGGTTACTCTCGGCATGTAGCATTCAACCCTGAATCTCCGAGTGCAGACTCTAAATCTTCAATCCAGAGTCTTGCCAGATACCAAAGAGGATGATGTACCCGACGACCATGATATTGAGGAGGAAGCCATGACTAAAGAGCGCCCCAGCCTTGAGTTTGCGGAGAATTTCGGGTCAAGTGAGGTTGCAAATTCGGGGGCTGGGGATTGAGGCCAGAGCTTAGGTGTCGGGGCTTAGGGTTAAAGTGTTACAGCCCGGATTCGAGGGTGACTGGACAACTAGTAGCCAGCTCAAGCTGAAAGTGGGGTTCAGGGCATTTTCGGGTGTTTCTTGGGCAGAGTCTGGCAGAGTGGCTTGGCCAGGCAGCTGAGGGCCCTGCATGCCAAGTTCGACCAGAATGGGGATGGCAAGGTCTCCCTGTCCGAGGTCCCCCCATGCACAGGGTATAGCCTGTATAGCGCTGGCATGGAGTCTGAGTTTCGAGCTCAAACTGCACGATAACCTGGCACAGCAGGGCCCAAAAGCATTGATTGCAGCATAAACTGCCCTACATCCTGAACCCGAAGCTGTGCACCCTAAACTGCACCACAGTACCTCAGCCCGTCTCCGCCGGAGGTCCTTGAGTTCGCCAAGCACATGAGCAAGGCCATTGCGGGCAAAGACGTCAATGCCATCCTAGACGAGATCGATACCGACAAGGCTTGCGAAGCAGCGGTCTGGAAGCGTGCATCTTAAGCTTCTTGAGTTCTTCTGCCATCCACCAGCAGCTGTCCAAAACGCTCTCGTGTTGTCAAATGCATTGCCCTGCACAACTTAAAGTCCTACAAAATCCCCACATGGTTCCAGTGGAAGCTTCATGCAATCCTGACACCATCCGCGCGCGATTACTGTATAGATGTCTTTGGACAAGGACGGCAAGCTCTCTCTCGACGAGCACCTCAATGATTTGCACTCACAGGCAGCGCGAATCTGAGCCTTGCGTTTCAGTTTGCATGCGGGAACGTGTAGAAGTTCATTGAAAGAAGGCTCCCCTGATGAACGGCCCAAAGGTTGATCTGTCCCATTGAACCCCTTACATGTTGACATGTTGTTCCCACACCCTGATGTTCTGTGACTTTGGCTTGTACCTCCGACTTGCGAGGCTGACGGTGGTGATGAGGAGGAGTTGAAGGAGCCAGCAATAGCATTCAAGATAGTGCAGGCGCAGATCCTTGGAGGAAAGATTCGAAGATGAAGCTCCTTCTCAGCGCACACACACACACACAAAACCAAACCCTGAATCCTACGACCCGAAGCCCCGAAGCCACAAACCCTACACCCCTGAATGGTTCTCCAACCCTGAGACGCTCCCGGAAGGAGCTGGAGAGGCGCAAAGCCATCGAAACCGAGAAGTTGCTTTGATGCAGTCCATCCAAGTAGAGGTTCATCTAAGTCACAGGAAAGTGTCTGTACGGACTGCGCAACTGCAGGCGCACTGGCAAATAGCAATAGGGTAGCACCCAAGCAACATGATTGTAGGACCATGAAGCAGATTGAGAATCGCAGCACTTGGAAAAGAGCAATGCTTGTCATTCTTGCGGCAGACACAACTCGCCTTGCTTGCCAAACTTGTCTGAGCAGCGACGCCACCAAGGTTTCTTGCAGCTGACGAGGACAAGGACCAGGCAACTCCTGCATGCGGGTGTCTATGGATGAGGCTGCTGGCTTTGGTAACGAACCATTGAAACAGTTCCAATGACGATGCTGTAAGTTGCTAGTTTGAAACGGGCATCCTCCTTGTGGTGATGTGTATTCTGCATTCTCGTGTTTTGTGACGGCAATTCCGCTTCTGGCTTGTGCAGCTACCATCTCCCAGCCTACATTGCCTGTCCGTCACCGCTGGTGTCCAGGCCCTGAACGCAAAAGAAGTGGTTTCCCTCTTCTACCCGGAAACGTCGGGCGCCTGGAAGATGGCGACGGCGTTACAGCGCTTGGCATCCACTCAGCTGTTTTCAAATCTGCCTGGTTGGAGACTGACTTCGCCTGCGTCATTGCAGCTTCAGGAACCCCGCCGTGCTGGATGTAGTGGTCCGGGACACTATGAAGATGAAGGATTCTGTTTGCACGGCTTGTGGTCCCAGCGCGGTTCCTGATGCTAGCTTCTTATTTACCAAGTAATCTGTCAGTGCTTGAAGGTTCAGGGCAGACCTAGTAGTCAGCTGGGTGGCAGGCATGATTGAGATTAGGATGAAGTCCCCTGCAGAACAAACTATGCGAACTGCAGAAATCGTAGCATCAGTCTCAAGCCAACCCCTGATAAAGCACCGGAAGATGAAAGGAATGGCCCCCAAGATTACTGCTGAATTGCAGATTGTAGGGATACAGCAGGATCACTTCCCCGAAGCCTTAGTTTTTGGCTGCTTGCGCCATTTTTTGGCCGCTTGCGATTGTCAAGGATGCTGATGGCGACGGCGTGCTGACTCCAAAAGAGTCCGGTGCCTGCAGACGTTGGTTTGTAGACTGTTTATAAGGATCGTGTCGCCGATCTTGGGATAGCACGGACTATCATGGTTTATGTAGGGGTTGTTTCATGATAATGGGTCCTTTCCAGGCCTCCCTGTCGCATAGCACCTAGTCGTCAACAGTAAATCTATACCACACGCCCGCTCTTCTTGCCTCGTCTCTAAGCAGGAGCCTCCAAGCACCAGAGAGGTGCTATAAGCACACATCAAAACATAGCAGAACCTGACATGGAGCTGCTTCCAAGGTTCTGGGAGTTTGGTGAGGAAGACGTGGAAGATCAGCTATCAGAGGTGCGTAGACAGAAGGGACGCAGGTTGGCAAACGAAGCTTATTGCAGGGGTGTTGGGTCTCCGTAGCAATGTCTTCAGACTCCTGCTCTGTTTGTAGGCTACCTTGGGGATCACTCAGGTCAGATGACAAGCTGTAGGCTTAACCCACTGGCATATGCATTCAGATGAAGACCAGCGTTGTCATCGCTACTATCGTTCTTCTTCATACTGCAACTGGTGATCTGATGGCACTGGAAGCATTCAGATTGGATTTTTCAGCCTTAGCATCAAGCGTATCTTTGCCATTTGCCATTGCTATCATTGTCGTCCTATGTATTTAAAGTGTCGATGTAAGCTGGCAAGAAGCAGGAGGAGATCAACGACTTCAAGAAGCTTGACAAGGACCACAATGGTGTCGGTGGCCTTAGCATGTCGCGGCACTCTCAAGAGCAAAAAAACGGGAATAATCCCCATGGAAAGCCGGGAAGATTTTTACATATTCCTAGCCAAGCCTTGAATTACACCCAGTAGAGGGCAACATGCGCACCGCCTACTCCTCAGAAGGTCCTGGTGTTTTGTGCAGATGCTTCATTCTATAGTACTTTCCATTTCAGTTTCAGTCTCTTTTCCATTTGATTCTCTCCTAGAGGGACTCTAGAGGGATAATACACCTTTCTAACCCCTATATAATCCCAAGAAACTGTACCATGAGGTCTTGAATCTGGAAGAGCTGAAAGCCTGGGAGTCGGGCGTGTCTTTCTGGCAAGTTTGTCGCTTGGATCCTGCATCCGACCCGTGACTACCAGCGCTGCACCCTCCGACCCTAAAACTGTGGTGCCCGAAGCATCATGCCAAAGCCTCTAGGCCAGAACCCGGGCATCCAACCCTCAAGTTGAAATCTCTACATCCCGACCCCGGTGAATCCAACAAATACAGATACTAGCGCCAAGCCCCCAAAGCTCGTTCAAAATCGCAGGTTCCACACAGAGGCAGCTATGATCCGCCTCCTGCAGATAGCGGATAAGGTGAGCGGCACGGAGTCCTCGTGTCTTCATGTCACCATGAGATTTTCTGGCAATGATTATCACTCTTTCGAGGTATGCAATTCGCATGTGACATGGGCTGGTTCTTGTAGAGACAATGGGCAGCCCCTGCAGGATCCCTGTAGTTCCGAGAAGAATAGATACCATGCTTAGGTTTCAGTAGCCAAAATGAAGAAGTACAGAGGGCTCTGCTTGGGTCCTGGGTCATGTCTTGATAGGCGGTAAATCCTTGACGTGGCCCGGAGATATCTTGTAAGTAAGGAACCCTTCTCAATCCCTCTAGACCTCCTATGTGCCGCGTTTTTTTAAGCGCAAAATCCTTTTGTCCAGGATGGAGATATGATGGCAACAGCAGATGAGCTGGAGAACGCTCGCGAGGACCACTGGGGCCACTGGGGTTTGGTTCTAAGAATCTCCAGCATGTGGAGGGGACTCGTCAGTTCTCAGCTCCCTCTGTGCCGCCAAAGCCAACCTGACCCCCAACCCTAAACCTTAAACCCTCAACACTCCGCAAAACTCTACTCCAAAATCCCTAAACACCGCCATCCTTTCTGTAAATGGAGCGAGGAGCTTGCTGCCAGTGATGCTCAGTGCCCCCCCCACAGGTTTGTGTTCACTCAGATTAATACTTGTCTTGTGGAGGGTTACAAATTTCCAGTCTACAACTTAACGTTTGGGTTGTTCCAGGGTTTAGGATTTAGGGTTGAGGGCTCGGAGTCTATGCATTTAACTTTAAAGGGACAGGGCATTCATGGAGACCCTGCAATGGTTGAGATCCCACTCAACAATGAGACGATGATGGATTCAAGACTACAATGATTGTAGGAGGACTCGCAAGAAAATGCCTGCGTCATATTGATATAGACTGTAGGGGACTTTGCCAGCGACGATGTATGCATGATTTGAGTGCCGATCTACAGTTGTGGAGATCTTCTGCCATCTGTCACTCTCTGCAGGTATCACCTGATAGAATGGGCTGAGCACCATGAGCTGTGAGCCAACGTCTCCCGTCCAAACGCGACGAACAAACCAAAAGACTTATCCAAAAGACTATGCCATATGCAAAGTATCACATTCGTGCTGCACAATACTTGGTGCCTGCGAGCCTCTTAGGCACCTCACAGACAGAAAGCCTCAGAGCTTTCGGCTACGTGCCACAAGAAAAGTGACAATGCTCATGTCATGGCTGCCGCCACGACAGTTTTTCCTATACATTTCCAACCTCCTGGCGGATGCGCACCTCCAAGCACCTGGCGCCTTTCTAGTTCCCTTTCTTTGGTCTTGAAAGGCTGCACAGCTCGGGCATGACCTGGGAAGCTCTTGTTCAGGAACCCTGTGTTTCGCCTGTTTGTATGCTGCAAGGCTAATTTGAGCTTCAAGATATGGACTGGACTACGGTGGCAATTACTGAGGTCCTGAGAAAGGTAACCATCCAAGGATTAGTATGATAAGGTAAGATCTGTCCAACGAGTAGGCGCGTTGCCATAAGAGCGCATTCGATGGAAGATGGCGCCACGTGCAGCTCCTGTGCCACTAGCTCACGGACCATCGAAGGGATCTAAAACGTAGGTCCCCTACAGCAAGCCATAATCCACCCTAAGGTGTAGGTCTAGGATTGGGCAGTCCATTATTCTTCAGATCCCTTTGAACGTGCGGGCGTCTGACCAGAAGGGCTTGCAGTGGCTATGGAGCGGGGCTTGCGAGGAGGCGGATCTGTGGACGTCGGTGTACCAAAGCCCCCGGAGGCCAAGAAGGAGGCCAAGAGCAAGAAGAAGGATCTCAAGGATGTCAAGGAGTCTTTCGCCTTTTTGTTCTTTCAAGTTTTGGGTTCCGAGTGGTGTTATTCATGCAATCCAGTACACTCTATGAAAAAACAAACAATTTCAACTTGAAGCAACTAGGTCCTGGGGTAAAGTTGATGAGTTGGATGAGCGGCAAAAGCATGACATGGCGCTCCTGGGGAAGCAAACAGATGTTCTCCGCAGCACCCGAGAGCCCAAGAAGAAGCGGCGATCGCAACAAGCACAGCTCGATCCAACAGTTCAAGAAATCCTTGACAAGTATTGCGAAGGCTCTGATGCAAACCTGTCTCTCCAAATGCAACAGGCGTTGAAAGAGTTAGCAAGGCAGCTGGCCGCGGCACAGGAGCGTGCAGACGCCGCAGACGAGGCCTTGACTTCGACTCAGTCGCAGTTGGACAGCGAGTCCGAAGCCCGTCGCGAAGTCGACGGAGAGCGGCTGCAGGCCTTGCAACGGGTCGAAGAGTTGGAGCTCGCTGCTTTGGAGTTTCAGGCACAGCGCCGGGCCTGGGAGGAGGAGCGTAAGCGCCAGCCACGGGAGCCACGCGAGTCACGCGAGTGCGCGCGGTGTCGGGAGTTGGAGGGCTTGTTGAAGGAGGCCATCCTGCGGGGCGCCAAGCTGAGCCGCAAAACGGCCGAGGCGGAGGCCGCGAAAAACGACGAGCAGCGGAAGGCCGCCTCGGCTGAGCGGCAGCTGCAGCGGCAGACGCGGCGCGCGCAGCGCCTGGCGCAGCAGCGGAAGAGCCTGGAGCTGGCTCTGCGCAGTGCGGAGCGCAGGGGCGATGCTGCAGAGGCCCGGCTCGGGGAGTATCTGCGAGCTGCGGCTGAAGGTGCTGAGAAGGTCATGGAGGCCCACATTCAGCACCTCGCAGCGGCAGGGACGAACCTGGCAGCCAAGGTCGATGAACAGGCCGAGATCATCCAAGTCCTCCGTGGCCTCCTTCAGGACTGTGAACTAGCCCTTGTAAGCCTTACCAAGTCTCCTGCCACTTCTCGTGTTGTGCAGGCGCTCTCATTTGAATAGGATAGATTTCTAAGGACCACAAGGACTTCATCCGCCAACAGCTGGGAGCCGAACTTTCTCTCCCTGCACCTGCACCAGCGCCAGAGTCTGAGGGCAGCACGGATTGAGAGTCGTCGTGGTGCTCACCAATGACAAGGTCATCGAAGGCCAGAAAGCCGCAAGGATCATCGATGCGCGAGCGAGACGTGTTCACTGCGACGGATGCCTGCGAAGCGACTCGAAGTTGTTCTTGATGCCAGATGCGGCTGCGAGCCGACCCGTGTGACGTGGCTGGCCTGGTCGACATTGAAGTGAAGGACCAGGTGGAGTTTCACTCAGCAGAACCTTCGCGCTGTGAGCGCTGCAAGGTATCACAGGGCTTTGCCAACATGTTTCATCAGCCTTCAGATAATGCAGAGTATCTTGCCCACTTTGTTTCGGGTTGAGGGTTTGTACGGTCCCCATTGCTCTTGCAAGGGGTTTCGCATGGTGTTCCATCCGCAGCTTTGCAGGGTAGTGTAGACATTGGCCCACCCTGTGCGCCACTGAAGTGCGGAGTCTGAGACCAAGCTGACGTTTGTAGCTTATGATGTACAACCCTGTCATCCCCATCAAAAAAATTGGAGCCCAACAAGGCCTTAATGCCCGACTTGTGGTTCCATGAGGCCGTTCATTCTTAGGGGGATTCCTCGGGAAGTCGTATTATTGGGGACATATACGTTTTGATCGAATGAGAAGTGATGACACGTTGTCATGACGTGCGTCATAGTAAGAACGATCGCCCCATTTGACCTGACTGTGATGCTGTTGGGGCCCACTAAGGCGGAGGATGGCCAACAATGGCACTGACACTGGTGCAGGGAGCTCAGTCCTTGAACAGTCTCGCATGGCCACAAAAGCAATCAAAGTACTGAAACACATAACAACATCTATCTGCGCGAGTGAGAGTCAACATACGCAACCGTCTGAAGACTAGAAGTAACTACAGCAGGTTAGCTGGAGATTTCTCACATGAGGGGTTCCTAGACCGATCGCCCTAACAGGCTAAGGGCCCACATTCCTTCCCATACTTCAAATTTCAACTGCTAGATAAGACCCTCAAACCCTATAGTGCCTAGACCCAAGCCCTCAAGACCCTTAATCCTAACACTCCTAGAGTCCCAAGCGTTCCATGAGGCGCCACCTCGCCCATCAGGACCCCCGCCGCCCCCGCCTGGGATAGTGCTTGGCCTCAGTGGCTCAGAACCTCTCAGGCTGTCTCAGGATTCAGGGCTCAGGGGTTGAAGGGTTGATATGTTGCATAAGGTTTCCAGAGGGGCTTGCAGGGTTCAGAAAATGGGGTCATGTGGACAAGACTAGGGGCTTTAGAATGTTGTGTGTGGGGATGGACACCCACCAGCCTGCCCTGTATTTTTACACCATCTTAGCCGTCGAGCATGTCAACCCCTCCGAGCTAACGTATCCCAAGTCATAGCTGCGCCTGATGCAATCCAAGCCATAACCACAAACCTACTAACCCTACTCAATCCTTGGCAAACTTACCTTTCTTGTTGCAAATGAGCAATCTAGCCCGACCTTTCATCTAAGCTAAGCGGCAGATCCCACAGCCTGCAACCCTACACTCTGCAACTTGAGCCCCTAAAATCCCCATTTAGTTTAAAATCCTAATTACTTTGGTGGCCCTTACGATTCCCTCTTCTTTCATTTGATTCGCGGTGCTTACAATCACACACCCTACACAATCTAATTAGATTTCCCCAGTCAAGCGCAAAGTATGATGGAAGCCCGGGTTGCTAAGGACGCCCCTCAGAGCGGCGACATGGCCGCGGCCTAAGACTGCTACGGTAGCCGAGGGTGAGCTTACTAGTAGTTTTCTTCATGGTATCAATGAGAGTTGAGTCGTTGTAATGATTATGGTAAGAACATAATTTAAATAAGAATGGTAGACCAAATAGTGAGACTAACAATCATGGAAGTAGTCGAAATTCAGTGGTGGAAAGCATAGTTGTAGTCTTGGAAACAATTTCACTTTCCACACTGGAGTCTTTTGCCCCTCACCCATCTTCCCGAGGACCTGCACCATGACATCGCGCGTGACATCGGCCAGCAGGTAGTGGTTTGCGGAGGGTCTGGGATTGGAACGCACTCGCTGTAGATGATATAATATGGCACCTTATGATCCTACAGCTCTCAGCCCTTAAAGTCCCAAAGTTCTGAATCCTGAAACCCCCAATCTCTATGCAATGTTATGTGCTTCAGGTGGAAGTCATGATCCTTGACGCGAAGCACGCGTCCGAGACCAAAGTGGGCAAGGACCTTTGAAGCCCCCATGAGCTCATCTCGACATGTGCATGTCAAGCGCTTCAGACACGGCACTTCTAACACTACTACTTACTGGTAGTTAGTATTACCAACACAATCCCTAAACACAATATACCCTTATTCTCTACAAACCACCACGACGACTGGCAGTAGCAAGAGTCAGTCTTTGAATAGTAGCGATAGTAGTCGATCGGGATTCTCAAGGGATTCTCATCAAACACAAGCCCGCACCTGACTGTTGGACAGCCTGCGATGCGGTCTGTACCCGAAGCCGTGAACACCAAACCACACTCTAAGACCTTTGAAGCCTGCTGTGGAAGGAGATCTCAAAGATCAAGGGCAAGATGGAGGAAAGCGTGCATACATTTCCACATCAGTACGGATCCAAACATGAGATCCCCTGCAACACGCCATAGCCTACCACGTAGTGCTTACTGCGCTGAATTGGGGAAGTTCTTGCGATCAGTTCCGCAAGCTCGAAATCTAAGCCCTAACTCTTAACTCCTAAGGCGGAGCCCTCAAGCTCATTACATCATTACACTGATCTTTTCGAAAGAGTTCTGGCATCCTGGCAGGCCATGGCTGAGAAAATAAAGATGATCAATGAACGCGTTGCCTGGGGCCTACAAGAGTCAGAGAGAAATGATTCAAGTTTCTATAGATGCAGTTCCGCTTTTGCTGCTCCTACCCTCGTCCTCAGGATTAGGAGCATGATTCCTGTTCTTGTTTTCGTCAAGATTGCTCGCTCAGCGAGTTTGACCCTCCACAGATGCCCTGAGGCCGCTGTTGAACCGGGCCGCAGTGGCCTGCTTAAGGCAGGTGGTGGGGTTAAGGACCTATGGATTTGGAGTTCCGAGCTGCCCTGTAGACACTTGTAGGCATGATATGACACCTTTAAGTCTAGCCATGAGCGGCATCTTGGGTTTTGAGAGCTTTGCCCCTTGTACAGTTGGTGCGTGTTGATGATGCATCTCGAGACCCTGTCACTGAATGTACTCCGGTCTGGAGTACATGTCCATCTCCCGTATGCTCGGATTCCATGTCAGTTTTGAATGAGAAGTCCGGCGGCGAGGTCTGTTTTTAGCCAGGGGATCGTAGGATGATCACACAACGTCGTGCGAACATACACAAAGCAGTTGTTTCGCCCTCATTGTACAACCATTAGACCTGAACCCAGGCAGGAGATGCTCCTTAAGCCCATGGGCCACCTGCTCAACCATTGACCCTACACCGAGCAATACCAACCTGAGCCCAAAGCCAAGCCAAGCCTATCTTGCTCCAGTCGGACCTCCAATCGAGCATTGCCAAGCTTGAGGAAGTTTGGGAGGGCGAGGCAGCTGGTTTGGTGGGGCCTTGATGGGGTTCCTGAATTTTTGGATGGCAGTGTCTTTTTTTTTTTTTTTTTCATTTT